GCTTTAATTTCCTGACATAAGGGTGATCTGGTGGGTAAGTACTAGAACGGTGTACTTGAGATCAATGAACTTTGGAACAAAACGTGTTCTTCCCGAGACAAAAACATCGACAAGAATCGACTGTAAATGGCGAAGATATGACGTTCGGCAAAAAAAAAATTGAAATTGCCTTGCAAAAAACTTTAGACTCAGAGGTGAGTCAGTGAGGCCTAAAAGTTTACAACATGGAAAGGTAACAGATGCAATGCGTAATCAGCCAAATCTGGTAGTATGAAAGGCATGTGACTAGACGTTGCACTTTTTTAGGCGCGCTTACTCTTTTTTCTGAGAATTTTAGCGATCAAAACTAGCGATAGCGAATGTAAGAATCCGGCTGCTGCACCAACAGTCAGCAAGAAATGCAAAGCATGCTTTGAAGTGCAGCACAAATTTTCTAAAATTCTTCGATTCCTCAATTTTACCAGGTGTACGGAATTGTGCAAGTGGTTACCTAAATTTGGTAGCGCGAAAAATCGGTGGAGATATTTATCGAGGAGGGATCTCAGTTGCAGTCAATAGCTACGAGTGGCAAAACGAACGAACTAAATGAGGTACAACCAAACTTGCTATCGTCCATCCTTGCTAGCTAACTTTGTTGTTGCTCTCACATGCAAAATTTTTTGTTAAACGACCGGAACTCAAACAAAGCGAGCAGAGATCATTTGAGATGCTATATGCTACTACCTTCTCCATTTCTGCAAGCAGTAATGTGGTGACACTTTAGTTTCCGTTAACCACTTTCCGTTGCTCCGCTTTCAGCTGTACTGTTTCCCCGAACGAAACTTCCGTCTAGAATTGAGCTGCAGAACTGAACCGCTCATCAGCGGTAACAAAAACCGCGAAATCTGTTCTGCCTTTTTGCTACTTTGGAGAGAGTAGGCAATTAAAGAGTAAAGTCCTCTCTCGACGTACGAAAACCACACTCTGTTAGTCACTCCTGCTGTAGAAGCTTTACAACGACATAGACTAGTGCAGCGAATTAAAATTCAGCGGCAACGCTGGCTTGGTCATGTCGTTCGAATCGACTCCGACGCTCCAGCTTTGAAAGTATTCAACTCGGAGCCCGCTGGTGGTAGCAGAGGAAGAGGGAGGCTTCACTTGACATTTCCATTTGGCATCAGTGAGCACAGAAGAAGAGAAACGACTGACGTGCTTTGTTGAACTCGGCCAAAATCGCTCAGCAGATCCGCCCTCGAATTTTTATTTTCTTCAGGCATTTCCTACTCGTAAAATTTGGGAAAACTCTACTTATGCAAATGATATCGGTAAGCTTCCTATTATGCTATATACATATATAACCTTTTATAGTTAACACCAATATACCATTTACATAACTATGTTCAGCTCCTCCACATGAATTCTTTTTAATTTCTTTAACTTACTAAGAGCCAATTCACGATTTTAAAGGGTTTTAGCTAATTATGCGCAAAACTAAAAAGAAAGCATTTCCAATCATTTCACATTTTTTTCGGTACATTTATTTTGTTTCAATTTCTTTCAACTTCACATTTATGCAATCTTAATATTTTTAAGACAGATTTTAGTTATAACAAAATTAGAAAAGGTAACTTAAAAATTTTATAATTAAAATTATTTATAATTAATAATATACTATTTTCACTTTACTTATAAAAAATACACGCAGCTCAATGTTAAATAATTACTAAATAATGTGATAAATACAATAATTGGCGTGCAAAAACAGGTAATTTTAAACAAAATAGAAAATATATAAACGCATATATTCCTAAACACTTATATACATACATATATTTTATACATATTTATGTGTGTAAATGTACGTACATACATAAAATACATCGTATATAAAATTTGTATTTAAGAAGAAAACTTAAAGTTTAAATATTTTGAAATCATCATTTGGGCAGCAGTTTGGTAAGGATTAAAATTAAATTGTGAACAAGAAATACATACAGTTGTAAATACATACATATTGTGCAAAGGCAGTAAAGAGCACCAACCAATAAACATATTTTTAACTTTCTTTACGGAAATGTTTTTCAAAGCAAAATTTTAACAAAATAGCTGCGGGAAAAATAACCTGGGTGAATTTTTTTATTTATTTAAAATTTTTCTGATAATATTTCTGTATGAATTTTTGAAGACAACATAAGTTTTTTTACAAAGCGAATTTCATAAAATTTAGCAAAATATTTGAAATTTTTATGCACTGAAATTTTGTTTTTTATTATTCATTTATTTTCGCCGAAAACTAATCTACACAATTTTTTATTCTTACGCCGAATTTCCAATTGCTTGTAGAAACAGAGGAATGACTTCTATTTTTTTCGACGTAATGGTACAGATATTTTGAACGCTCAACTTTGTTATTGTAATGGCTATTTAATGCACAGTGTAAACCCGTAACAAACATAAAAAGAAATTTTTTAGGGATGCCCTTCTTAGTAAATTTTTTCTTTTTGACAAAAGTTGGCGCAAATCCATTTCAAAATACATAAAAAATCGCAACATTATTGAGTTGAGTTTCCATAAATTTTTTAGCAACGCCTCAAAACTTTTCCACAAAATTTCTATACATTCTTTTTAGGTGAATCTAAGTACTACCAAACTCAAAAGTCGAAAGTATTTTCCACATCAAATTTTTACTTTTAAGAGAAAGCTACGAGGCCTTCGAAATTTTTCGGGCTTTTTATTTTAAATTATGCCATGGGCTTGATAGTAATTTTATCATTCGACAGAAGTTCTTCGGAGCATTTTATTTTTGATTATTTTCCTTGTTCTTTATTTTTTGTGCCGTTTCGTTCAAAGTTGAAAAGAGCAAATAAGAAATTTTGAAATGTTGAATAATTTTAGATATGCTTCCCCAAATTTTAGATGTTCAAAAATTATTCTAAAAATTTAAGAACTCAAAAAATCAAATGAGAAAAATTTCAAAATTTAATAAAATTATATATTTGAAAATACTTTTAAAATTTCGGCTTGGAGTCATTTAATCTTCTTGCATTTGTTTCTATGCAAAAAATTTCAAAAATCGCGAAAATTTTGCAAGCTGCCGAAATGTGTGAGAAATTTATTTCATAGTTTGGAAAAAATATTCCGTTTCTATCAAAACTGTGCATTTCAATTAGCCTTGGAGAAAAGAAAAAGTTACACCCTCATTGAGAGAGTCGTGTCGAATGGAATCATTTTTCGTGAGTCGAATCGTATCGAAAATTTCACGTCATTGGCTAAAATTTCCACTCGACTAATTTATTAAAACGGAAAAACTTGACAGCACTGCATAGTTTCCGACGATTTCCGTCGTTTACTTATTTCAGCACGACAGTAGACAATGCCAATGTTGTCGAGTCTAACATTTTAGCCCAATTTACGACTTACGCAATGGGGCCGTTAATAAAAAAATTTAAACTAAACAATTAAAAAAATAATAATAAATATTTGCTTATATTTTTTTGGGACCAAACTAAAAAATCTCTTTTTGACCTGAACAAAATTTTTTGTTAACTAAAACAACATCTGTCGATGCTAAAATTATTTACGTATGTATGTATTTTTGCGTCGACCAAATTTCTTTCTAGAATAAAATGAAATAAAAATTTTTTGAGTTCTGATTTTTTTTTTACTAAATTTTTTTTTTTATAAACTTTATTTGTAAAGTATCTTCTTATATGTATGTATCTACTCTTAAAGATTTTAAATATTCTTTTTGGCCCTTAAGAAAAGAAACCCTTAAATCCCGCATGTTTTATGTGGCCATTTTTTTCAAAGAAATGCGTTTGTTTGCACGTACATATGTATGTATATAAAATTTTTTTATTTAAAAATGCGCTTCTCAAAATTTTCATACCTTGTGAAAATTAAGTTGCAAATAATTTGTTATTTTCTCTGAGCAAACCGTTTCTTTAAAAAAGTACATTAAAAAACTCTAAATTCAATAACGTTAAATATTTAAAAATTCTTTTTAAAAATTGCAGTTGCAAACAATTTGTTCTTCTTCAGTTGTTTCTGTGCACAAAATTTCTAAAACTTTGCAAACTGATAAAATTTGTGAGAAATATTTTTTACAACTATAAAATGTGAGAAATTTTGGTATAGCGTTTTTTATGCGCATTTGTTGTTTTTCGTGAACGCTGGATACTATACTTTAAAGCTTAGTATCCTACTCCCAAAAAAAGTAAATTTTAATATTAACGCTCAAGAAATTAAAAAATATTCTATCACGATTTCTAAGACAAGTTTGCGCACAAGAAATTTTGTACATTTTGTACTACACTTTTCCAAATTTTTTTTTTTTACTTGCCTGCTTATTATGTATTTCATTTGCTTGAGAACTGGACACTAAGCTTTAGATGAGAAAATGAAACTTAAAGAAAGGCACGCCAAAGTGTAATTATTTTACACAATGTGAGTATAAATTAAAATAAATGATCAGGCGGTATTAATTATTAAAAATAAGTTCTATTGCTTAAACAAACATTTGAGATACAACGCAAGCGCTTGGGTGGCTTGTTTTTTTATTTTTTTTTTTATTCATGTGTAAAATTTATTTATTAATTTTTAAGTATATATTTATAAGCTGTTGTTTGGGTTCGATAAACTGCTTTTGTATGGCATTTACAAAAATTTGTTATGTACAAATTTTTTCATGAGTAATTTATTTAATAATTTTTTAAAAATTATTAAGTATGCTTTTAATTGAAATATGTTTTTTAATATTTCAAAATATAATTTTATTTATATTTAAAATTGTTTCTTTCTTCAATTTTATAAAATCATATTCAGCCTAGTCGCTAATTCCAAGTGAATAAATCGCGCCCATAAATTTAAAAGCCACACAAAAACATTTGGGCACAATTTTGCTTTAACAATTTTGAGAATATTTACCGGCATGGAATTCAAGTGTAGGCTTCATTAGAATATAATAAATAGTTTAAATGCAACAAGTATGCGTTTTTTTTAGCAAATTGTGTAAAATTGTATTTTTTTATTTCTTTGTTTGCATTCGAGCACATTGGAGGTGCGCTCACACCTTTCTGTTATTAAGTTAACTGGTTATATATTATTATTCTTCAATATATTTTATGTTTGAAACTGTGTACAAAATATAATCACTTAACCAGATAACCCAATAACAAGGCAGGTGTGAGCACCAACATTATATTTCAATTTGTATTTATTTAGCTTACTCTTTTTTTCAACAACTAATGTTTTTTTAATACATATTTATTTTTTTGATATTTAGTATTTTTTTAAGAGTAACTTTCACTTTCAATGAACTAAAATTGCTAAGACGCGTTTGAAGTAGAAAAAGCGGGGAACACTGATACTTTCACATAAAATTGTTAAATATTTGTATTTTATTTATTTTTAGTTTTTAACTGTACAAGCGGTTTTAACTAAATTTTACATTATTTTTTTTGTTTACTTATTTTTAAAAAAGTGAAAATTTTCAACTATATGCTTGTAAAATTCGCCGCGTTTCGTCGCACGATTCGCGCAAATCAGCACATAATTATACAATTATGAAAGCATTTTTTACTCGTAACTGCCTAATCTATTTAGCGTTTTACAATTAGTTTCAATTTTAATTAACTGCTTTTTTATTAAGATTTAGCAATTTTTTATTTTCATATTTTTTTTTTCATATTTCAAGTGAAATGCTTTTGCTTAGGAACAATTTAATTACTACAATATTTTGTTTTACAAATAAATTTTATGGAAAAGCAAGTTTGTAGCGCACGGCCGCAAACATTTTCAATGCAATTTTACTTTTCATTTATATTTAAAAAACAAAATTCACCAAATAATTTTGTTTCATGCATAGATGCCTTATTTCGGCTTATTTATAATTTTCACTCATTTTTCTCTTTCGTTAATTTGCTTTAGAATTTCACTTAAATAAGTACATACACATGCAAGAGTAGAGTGGAGTGGATACACAAATTTTTTAATGAAAAATTGCATTTTTTTTTTTTCAAAAAAACACTGCTTGTTTTCTTTCTTAAAAACTAAACGCTAATTTTCGCTTCTAATACGTAAGGCGAATAAATTTCATTTGTAAGCATTAAATATATATGTATGTATATGGATAAAGTACATATATTAGCGATTCGCATGCAAAAATTTGAGGAATTTACAATGTGTAGTTTTGTTGTTAGTGGTAGTTTTTAGTAGAGATTTGGTAAATTTAAATAATCATTGCAATTGTATTGCATGCCGCTGTATACTAGCAAATGTTTGCCATATTTTTTTCGTTTAATAACACTAAACCATTACTTATTCGTTTAAAATTTGCACAATTTCAAAATTAAAAGAGTCGTAGCATATAATTAAGAGTATAATAAATTTTTTTTAATTTTTCATTTAAAAAAATTTTGCTAAAATACGAAATTCACGGGGCAGTATGCTTTTGGAAATTGCAGAATATTGCTCTAGCAAAACTCAGCGCGAGTGAGGGGCGGACAATTTAGGATACTTTCAATAATAATCGATTGCTTTTAGGCGCTTTTTCGATACATGAGCCACTTCTAAGGACTATTTGGAACTTTTTGAGGACATAAAAGAGGAGTGGAGAGTTGTGTAGAGTTTTTGAAATACAACATAACAAAGTGAGGATGTGATTTGATGCAGGTTTTAAATGCCAGCAACATGCGAAACATGTGGAGAGTTGTGTAGAATTTTCAAACACACAAATTTTTACCACATTTGTTTAAAAAGCGCTAGTAAGTTTGACACAATTTTTCGTTGGTATTTGCTTACAAAACATGTGAGGAGTTGTGTAGAGTTTTCGAAGAACAAATTTTGAACATGTTTTACAAAGAACGCTAGTAAAGCAGCAAAATTTTCCTTGGCAGTAGCTTATAAAAGTTTTCAGAAAAGGCAGGTTTAACCCGTTTTACAAAAAGTACTAGTAAGGTTTTGCGCTGTGCTATAAAAGCAAGTGGAGCATTGTGTAGAGTTTAATGAGAGATACAATTTTGTGTGCTAAAGATGCGTTGTGTAGGCTTTTAAATATTAATGGAGGCTTTTGGAGAGCAATGGACAATTTGGGGAGTTGTTGAGACTGTTGTAGAGTTGTGGAGAGTTGGAAATATCATAAATTTTGCATAAATTACAATATTATTTTAAATTATGCTCCGCTGTTTTAACTAACAACGCTGCCTGCTCTAATTTCATAAAATGTTTATCGTATAAATGCATTAATTTATCATTTTACTTCAAAACTTGTTTAAAATTGTTTATATTGCTGCTCAAAAATTCTGTTGCTTTTGCTTGCTGCTATTATGTAGTATGGCATATTGTACAATTCCTAGGCGTAGACAATTTGAAAGCAAAAAGCATTATTTTTCTTCTTTTTTTTTGAAATTATTCGCGAAAATTCGCTTTTCACTTAAGCCTGTGTAAATGCTTAGTAAGTAGACGTCCACATACAAATATGTATAAGCATGTAAATATATGTTTATAAAAAATTTTTTCATTGTATGTATAAGTATCTTAATATTAACTACTACATATATAGAGGACATGTTTTGTGTGTATTGCCACCAAATACGTTTGGCAACTGCGCGCGCGTTCTACAGGTTCTGAACCTTCCCAGCATCGCAATGAAAGCACTACGCTCCCTTCTACGCTTTGATAAACGCCTTTACTTTTAACTCAATTTTCTCCTTTACACCTTGCTTTTTTCGCTTTCTCCACACATTTCTCGTCTCACTTTCCCTTTCTTGTTTATACTATTACCAACCGCACAGAAACCAATGTCGGCGACGTTGGCCTCCGCCACATCCCTAAACCCTGTGCGTCAGCTGCGTGGAATCGCTGCGTTTGGGTGGTGGCGGCGGTGGTCGCTTCTTGCGTTGCGCCGCTGCTGCAGCCACCGCCGCCGCCGCTGCCCCACCCATGGGGAATTGCGGCTCCATCATTACCGCTGTGCCGGCCATGCCATTCGGCGCATCGGTCGCATGCAAATTCTCATAGAGCGCATATTCGCTAGGCGGTGGCGGTGGTGCGCCGGCACCATAGTGCTCTTGCACCCAATTGCTCACGTTCGCTGTCTCGCGATAGTAGTGTGTGGTGGCGGAGGCATTCAAATTGTGAAGCTCGTCGTTGAAATCGCGAAATCCGAGCACTTCATGCGGAGTTGTGGCCGGTTCTAGTTTGCACTTCTGCGCCACCTGCCACTTTTTGCGCATAACGCGTTGTAGATCCTTGAGAAAGTCGCGCGGCGGATTCGAGGTGGACTCTTGCAGACGCTTGGGGGAGCCAAAGTCGATTGAACTGCAATTGGAAGAGTTCGTCGAGAGACGTGTCATATCGGCGCGTGGCGGTGGCAGCGGGCAGGGCGCATAACCGTACAAAGGCTGCGCGTGCATTTGCATATGCATTTGCATTTGCTGTTGCTGTTGCTGCTGCTGCAGTAGACTCGCTGGTGGCTCGGGTGAGCACATTTTGCGGCGCAGCAGCACTGGTGAATCGGCGAAGGATACTTTCTTTTGTGTGCCAGTATTCGAAGGTTGCGGCGGCGGTGGTAGAGCAGCAGAGGCTGCAACATTGTTTTTATTGCTGCTACTGCTGTTGTTCATATGCTGATTGTGCGCTTGACCCACATACTCTGGTGGTGCCTTATACGGTGGTGCAGGACCCTTCACCGGTGTCTGTTGGGGCTTCTGTGGTTTCGCAGGCACTGCTGGCGGCATGCCGTTCGCTTTGCCACCTGCCATTTGGAATTGCTGCGGTGGCTGCTGATAGACCATCACTTCTTCTGGTGGCGGTGGTGGCGGCAATGAAACCAGTGACAGCTGCGAGCCATATATTTCGTGCTCGTCGGTGAGCGGTGGCGGCGGTGGTGGTGGTGGTAACGAGTCTAGCGAGAGTGTCGATGAGGACATACAATTCGCCACAGCATTGGCTTCATTACTGACCACAGTGCGGACGCCCTCATACTCTAGCAGCGGCTTGGCGCAGATACTGGGCGTCGGTGTGGGCGTGGAGTTGGAGGAACCAGACGAGTTGCAAGCGGTTGCATTCATGCTTTCTGCTGAACCGCGTTTCGCCACCGCTGCGGGCGGCTGACGCCGCTTTAGTGTACCGCTACCGTTACTCTCTTGCGACTTGCGGCGACTGTGACGGCGCGTAAGTGTTCCGCTACGTTCGGGTGAGGCTGCATCTTGCACATCGCCGCCGCTGCCCTCGCAAATTGTTATCTCGCCCACCTCTTTCAGCTGACGTGTCATTGTGGTCAGTGGCAGGTTGGGCTTCATTGAGGGCTTGCGTTTGATTGTACCTGTAGTGAATTCCGAGTCGAAACCATTGTTGTCGTCGGAAAGGCAGCCGCTTGACGAGGACGAGGAAGCACGCGAGACGCGACCACTCGAATTGGACATGCTCGAGACGGCGGAGGAGACGCTGCCGCATTGTGACGGCACGGCCGATGAGATGCTGCTTATCGATTCGCTGCGCATCGAGACGCCAAAACTGCTTTGCAACATCACATCGCCCAAGCTGAGATCATCCATGAGCGTTTTGTGGTTCTCCCACAGCTGCTTGCCGTATTTCGAAATGCGTATGGCCGTGATCCATTTCTCCATAGTCTCCAAATCCTCCGCGCAAAGCATTTTCAATGTGCGGCAGGTCTTGCCGAGCGAAGAATCAACGGCCGACTTGAAGCCGAACGCATAATCTGTGGGCGCCTTCCACTTTTTCTTCCAACCCAAGCCGCGATACACATTATAGCCATTGAAGAGTGTCAGACAAGCCAAATCGCGTGTGTTCTTCGTCTTCTCTTTCGGAAAATAGTAAAGCCCAGAGGAGCGCAGAACAAAGTGGTAACGCTTCCAGCCTTTCTTCGAGTCGGCTTTCATATACAACGGACCGTCAACCTGCAGCTGCGAGTTGGTCTCGAAGAACTCCTCCAACAGCATGGCGCGTGTGTGCTCATCGTGCTGACTGCCTGGCGCCATTTGCGGTCCAGGCAGATAGATTTCCGGCTTGGCAAAGAGCGATACCTTGTCGCTGCGCTGCTGAAAAAGCACGCGATTGCCCGCATCCGAATTCCAAGTCATCAAATTGTCCACCAGCAGCTCATGATCCTCAAAGAGGCGTTCTGTTGCGGAGAAAAAGAGAAAAAGGTAACAAAAAAAACTCTACACAATTGCCGCAAATACTCACCCATTTGCAGATCGCCCAAGTTCTCTACCAACGCCCAATTGGCCTGCATATGCACATGATTCTTATCGGCCAATAGACGCGTTACATGCCCACACGACATGCGCTCGTCCACCAGCAGCGACTTCGATGCGCCGTCCGAGGTGAAAGCCTTGACGAACAATCGCCTTATGGATGGATGCTCCAACTTGTGCAACGCCAGCTGTATCTTGGCCGCCTTACTGCTGCTCAGCGTAGTGCCGCTCAGCTGTTGCTGCATATACTGCAGCTGTTGTTGCTGCTGCAATTGTTGCATCTGTTTGTGATGCACCGCTGAACTGGCGCTGCTCGAAGCTGACGACTCGCTGGATAACAGCGAAACGGTGTCGCTGAAAGCGGAATCATTGTCTGGCGACTCGGTGCGTGGCTCGCGCATAATGCCCACACCGCTACCACCAAGACTGCCGCCAACGCCGCCTACACCGCCAATACTGACGCCCATCATGCTGCCCACACTGCTGCCGCCGCTTATGCTGCTCTGGCCATTCTCCGAAACGCCCGAGGAAGAGGCAAGCGAGTGTGTGGTAGCGCTGCTGCCACACTCCGATGCGCTAGATAGCGAAATGGTCGTGGCACCTGAAATAGTGGAATTTGTGCGCGAATGTGTGCGTGTAGGTGGTGCTGTGCCCATGCCGCTGCCGCCGCCCATACCGGCTGATTGATTTACATGTTGTTGCGGCCCAGGTACACCGCAACCGGGTAGAAAAGCTGCATCACCGCAATTGATTTGTGCCTCCAGCAAGCTCAGCTCGCCCAATATCATGTCCAATTCGGACTCTTGCGTCTCCTCCAAGTTCGCCATCGAAATGCGGTAGGTGTGCGATTTGGCTTCAGCTGTGGTCAGACAACGGTCGCTGTACTTGCGCAGCTTGATGGCAGCCGCAGTTTGTATCGCCGCCGCCGCCGCTGCAGACGATGGCGACGACGATAAGACTGTCACTTGTTGGGCTGTGACCGATGTGAAGGTGTTTTCGCGCCGCAATGGGCTGCCGCTTGAGGCTAGTTGCGTGAGGCTTCTAATCTGTTTGGCGGAAAGAGCGAGGAAGAGAGGAAGAAAGAAAGAAAAGTGAAAGACATTAGTGAAAGGCGATGAGTAGGCGTAAATAATATGCAGTTTGAGTGATGAATAGGTGCAATTTGAATAATCAACAAAATGCGAGTAAGTGGCAATTGTTTTATGATATAAATTTAAATTTACGGTAGCAGAAAGTAATATTATTTTTTTTATTCAAAAAACTTGCATGTATTCCTTGCTTATACAGTGCAATTTCGCAAATATTTTACAAGCTTTTAATTTAAATATTTTAATATTTTATTATTTGTTGGTTGGTAGCAGCGTTGCCTGAGCATCGGCCCAGGACCAGTAGCGCTATAATCGCAATTTTGATATACCTTATCTGGAACCTCTGATATTAAATATCTACTGTCGCGAATCGTCGGCATCTTCAAACCACTTAGACTTGGCAATAAGATTGTAGGGCATTGGCCTGAAGTCTTTTGCTTTTTCATTATTTCTTCTTCCCGGTTTGAGAATGTAAAGTACTTTATTTCTTTTCCAATTTTATGATATATAGGTACGGTGACCATCCGTTCTGTTTTTTGCAGGACCGTACTGTTTTTCAAAGGTAGGTCCTGCGTAGTTTTCCAAACCTGAAAAACCTGAAAATGTACTGCTTTTTTCCAAGTGTCCTGCATTTGTCCCGCATTTTATCCGTTATTTTAAAATTATCGGACAATGGATGGATTTTTTCAAAAAAGTGTTTTTTGGTACTTTTCGTAGCTTTTCTTCAATATCTCATGAAAAAATCTCCCAATCAACGAAAGCGACTTACAGCTCGAAGGGTATTGATGTGCCTCTTACCAAAATATAGAACTTGTGGCGACTTCAATGAAAATTATTAGTGCTACAGGCGACCATTTGCATTTTGTCGTCAAAGTCGAAAAAAGTGAGATTTCCAATCAAATACGCAGTTTTATTTGATTATTTTTTTCATTAGTTTAAAAATTCGATAAAGAAGATATATCATTACAGTAAATTTTGAGCCAAAGATAATGAAAATCGGATTAGAAATGTAGATGCAATGAAGTGCAATCTGCACAAATTATATATCTTTGTAAAGGGCACATAAATACCTTTCTAACTCGTCGTTTACGTCGATTCATGACGTCGATTTTTGACAAATAACTGCGAAAAGTACAAAAAGCAAAAAAAGGGTATTGTTTTCGTTTTGAACGAGTCAAAATTTGCCTATAAAATAATCTTTTAAAGATTTTCACTTTTCGTGTAAGCTATTGTAATTATAATATGTTTTACTATACTTTTATAAATATTCATGTAAAAAAAGATTAATATCGATGAAGAAAACGTGATTCGTTTTTAAGGTTTAAAATGTATTAAGAATTTAGAATCATAAATACTCTTTTGATATTTTTATACTACGTAAATATATGTAGGCATATTTTTGAAAAATTTTCCTTCATTTTGAATCCATATTTATGGTCACCGTATATATAGGTCAAGCTGGTGCTAGGTTATCACAGACTCTTTTAATTTCGGCATTATCAGTATAATGCTGTGTTGGCCAGGGTATTTTTGTGGCAACGATTTTTTTTCGAATTTTATTTTTTATTTAACCACTATCGTTTTGCCAAAATACTATACTTTTCTATAACGAGGCTTGGAATGTGTGGCCATTGAACAAAATTTGGCCGTGCGGGGGCGGCGTAAAACTACAGATCCCTCCATTTATGAATCAGCAACAAGGCTCGTACCAAAAATTAGAGGAGATGCTCGGCCAGCCATTTAGCAAAATAGTGAGCGACAAATATTTTTTTTCCTTGTTTCAATTAATTTCTTACTATTAAATATTCTAGTTTGTTGCATATCATTTCATCTCATTTCCCTACATTTCATTTTATTTTATTTTGTTTCATCTCAATGTTTCACTTCATTTCATTCAATTTTGTTTCTTTCATCTTATTTTATTTAATTAACATAATTTTATTATTTTATTTTTAATTCCTTTTTATATCATTTTTTATTATCTATTTGTTTTTTTTTTAACTTTACATTTTTTTTTATATAATTTAACTTCGTTTCACTTCAATATTTCGCTATATTTCATTCAATTTTGTTTAATTTCAGCTCATTTAATTTCATTTATATAATTTAATTTAATTTAATTTTTAATTTTTTATTTATTTTTAATTTTTTCCTATATTTTCTTTATTCTTACGTTTTCTTTTTTAATACTTTTTCTTTCAATTTTTTTTTGTTTAATTTCATTTAATTTAATTTAATTAGACAAACTTATTAAAATTATTTTTTTTATTATTTATAATTTATTTTTTCCTAAAAAAAATTCCTAAACGTCTTCAGTTTGATACCCATATTGCAAATTTTCAATTTAACTTATTAATTTAATTAAATTAAAATTTTCAAATAGGTGGCTACCTTTCACAAAAATATTATCGCCTGTAAGCCTTCTTAAACCTCTTTCTTTTGACAGCCATATTGCAATATTTGCTTTATCTTACCACTTTATTTAAACTGCAATTTTCAAACAAGTGGCAACTCTGTATTTTTTTCCTTTCTATATTTGAAGTTGAACCTCTAGAAATACATCGGTTTTCGAGTGATGAAAGTACAACACATACAGAGAGACAGAAATTCTAAAAAACTATTGATTAGGCTTCTGTTGCTCCAATAAAGACACCTCATATTAATTTTTCTTTAATACAACAATGTAGACATCGGCCTGTTACAATTTTATTACATGTGTAGATTATTTACATGTATTTTTTATTTATTTATTATATTTCTTTTAAATTTATTTATTTTTAGTTCTTTTGATTCGTTTTTTATTTTCGCTTGTTTTTATTTTCTAATTACTTCATTTTTTAAATATTTTCTTGCTTTTATTTTTTTCTTGTTTTTATTTTTTTTTAATTTTTTTTCTTATTTTTATTTTTTTCTTATTTTTTTTTCTTATTTTAATTTTTTTTTCTTATTTTTACTTTTTTTCTTACTTTTAATTCTCCTTTCTATTAACGTTTTTGTTTTTTCGTTTCCGCAATTTGATTATACCAACCCACTTTTGGATTTTTGGAATTACTTTTATTCCCAGGAAGTGGCATAAAACTGTAGAATCTACAGTGTAGATCACTCCATTTCATTTCTTCTCATTCAATTTAATTTAATTTACATAATCTCTTTTCATTTTATTTTCTAACTTGCTTTTCTTTTATTTTTTGTTTATCTTTACATTTTTTGCTTTTTCATCTGTTTTGTTTTTACTTTTCTTTGTTAGGGTTATTTTTTATAATTTTTATTTGCGTTTTCATAAAATTAAAATACTAACCCACTTTGGTATTTCGGAATTTATTTTCAGTTTCAGTTTTTCATAGATATGTAGTATGTATTTCCTGAATATTTTTAAGCAAATTCATGCGCATACAAATTGATTTTTTTTTTTTGCTTCAAGCGCACGCGAGTCAAATTAACATGAAATTAACCAACCATTATTATGCAAACTAATCTCTAAATAGCTTTTCATATGCAAATTTCCTGTAATAAAATCACCTCTAATTAATTTAAACCACGAAGCGTCAAAAAAAAAACCTGTTAAAACAGAACCACAAGCACATCAGCGATACACGTAGTAACAAGTTGTAAACACACACAATTTTATTCCAATAAATACCACAAAAATACAAACAAAAAAAAAACACTTTGCACAGCGCGTCTCATTTCCACCCAGTCAAGGTCATTGGCAAGCCTTTGTTGACAATCTGTTATTATTGCTGTTGAACATATT